GTTTTATCGATTATTTCAACTTTTTTAAAAGTCAAATGTCCTTCGTTTAGACTTCTCAGGAATTTAATTATCCATTTGCATCAAAATTTTCCTCCAAATCTTTGGGAAAACGAAAAAAACGTCGCCATTTCAGTCCTAGACGATCTCCAGCCACTGCACACTAATGGCTGATAGTGTTCAATGGCTCAGCCAATCAGATTACAGCATTTGCATTAGTATACCAGTAGAATTCTACTCTATACAGGTAATCATATGAATGCGAGTGCAATTAAGGGTTTTCACTACGAGTGATATTTGAAAAACCTCTCAAAATTACACGAGCCTTTAGGCGAGTGCAATTTGAAAGAACTTTTAAGTATCAGGAATAGTGTAAATCCTATATTGCTCGAGCTTTCATACGACTACTCCTCCTTATTTTTTTGACTGGGAAAATCGCGAAAGCCCGCGCGTTGATTTGCACTGCAGTGCAAATTAAGAATTAACGATAAATTGGCCTGCTCTCAGCCAATCACAATGAGCTAATTCTTTCAGTTATATAAAAGAAGAAATACTATCGCTATTAAATACACAAGTAAGGATAAAGTTCTCGCTTATTAGGCTTATCTCATTTCATGGTTAAATCACAACTACTTAAGTTGTGTATTTAACTGCGTAGGTGTTTTTTCCAATCAAATCTTTATCCCGTAGTTCAAACATATGGATTTCACGTATTCTATTTCATATAAACCACCACGGTAACTAAAGTATCGTATCGTATAATGAGGACTGTAGTTTTATAATGAAAATTACACTGCAAGTTAAAGAAACCATTTTGATTCTTTTCTTTGCAGATACTGGACAATCTGAACGAAAGTCTGAAGGTACATGTAACATTCAATTTGCAGCCACACTTTATTGAGTTTCAAATCAACGAAATAATACTTAATATTTCATTGTTGCATTGGGTCAACTCGAGGATGCATGGAGTTAACAGAGGATATTATTACTTACGTGATTTAATTTTGGTATTTTGGTAGAAAAAAACAAAGCTAAATCAGGAGTATCAACGCACCGCTCTCCGCCTTTGTCGCCCAAACCGCCCGGGTCACCGACACGCCGAGAATCCACCAGCGATGTCACCGCGCCTTCTGGAGGAGACTTGTCAAACTAATGAAATGATTCTGCCATCAGAAGTTTATCATGCTAAGCAGCAGTGTAAAATTCTGCTGCCGTATATTTCAGGAAATGTTTGGAACGAAAACGTTGCTTGTAGGAGAGATATTTATTTTAATAATATACATGCAAACATTTCAGCCTGCGGATTTGCTGAGAATGCGTCAATTAACCCCAAACAGTCAGAAAGTTGGAATTTTGTGAAGAAAGTTGAAATTAAATTGCATGTATATTAATAACAAGTAATCAAATGATTTTTCTCGTGTAATTAAAATAAATTCGTACTGGTAAATATTTTAAAGACTAAAAGCTGCTTTCGCCCCAGGGTTCATGCAGATGTTTTTGGGCTCTGAAAATTTAGTTGTGCTTATTTATTCCAAATTGCACTCGAAATCATTTGATTACCACCTATACAAACTGTTAATATTAATAAAGTATTTATTGCGGGTTAAATTGTCTTTGCGGAGGAGAAAATATAGTGGAATTTCACATTGTTTGTTTTGTTTCTTCTATATGGAAGCGTGTACCAGGACAAATAGAATTACAAGCTTATGAGAGCTGCGACACTTCTGCTGTGCCACCAGCCCTCTTGCTCAGTTTGGCTGTTTGAAAGTGAAAAGTGAAATAGAAGGAACATTTTCGCATGTTTACAATAGCTATGTGACCACAGCTGGGGGAAAATATGGCAACCTCTCGTGTAATATATCAAACACGAGAGACACTAGAGGTGAGAGGGATAGATGGCCGCTTACGGGAGCTTGCCCAGCTCACAATAAACAGTTGGGAATGCAAAGAAATACCACCGTATTAAGTGATTTTTTTTGTATGTGCGTCATGGCCTTTTTGCCATGACGCGATATTGGCGACAACTGTAAACAGTACTGTATACAAAAACAATCGAGAGAGAAACTAACTTTAGGACGACTGAGAAAAGTGCTTTTGCACTTTTTCCTAAGCGTTTTAGTATTCTTCATAGTTTAGTAACCGTCTTTAGTAACCGTCGTTTTCGTGGCGAAGTTGCGATTGTAAGCGGTAGCTTCGCCACGGAAAAAACCTCTGGCACCCAGGGTACGGTGGCGTTGAGTTTTACATACATGTTTTTGACTGACAATCACATGGAATGCATCCTGGGTAGCTGTTTTTAATGCGGCATCTGAAATGAGTAGACTTCTCAATTCAGGGTGTCAAGAACGGATTTAAAAACGATCTCCAACATTTTTCCCGTTTCATCTACATAGAAAAACACGGGAGATGTAATTTTATTAATACCTTTTATTATCAACTGCCATCGTATGTTAGGATAAGCTTGTCAGCCACAATTTCTCAAATTTTAGTGCAGGGATCTTGTATCCAAACTACATCCCTCATTACAATAATCACTCTTTACATTAAAACCTGTAAACTAAGTCAAAAACTGATGCAAATGTTATAGAGGCTCCAAAATCAGCGTGAATAACTAAATAATACTGTTCGTTCCCGATTCTACATCCGTTAAAACTATTTCCAAGTCAGATAGCGTTAAATTACTTTCGAATCCTCGGACAGATTCGGAACAGCTCTGACCTCGCATACATACACCCTAGTTAACTCAAGCTAACAAACATTGCCTTTTTTTTGATCAGATATTGAAATGGAACCACTGTCTACATGATTATTTAACTATATCTATAGTCATGAAAATGAAGCGAAATCAACTGATTTGTTTCTTTTTTTATTTATGATTTGTTTCTTTGGTTCGTAGTCAACAAGGCTGATTTCTAAGCCTTTCCATAAATTCAAAGCACAACAAATCATTCTGCAACTTTACGTAAAATCAAAGTCCAGTAAGGAGGGCAAGACAAAGAAAGAAACATGATTGACGGGCTCAAGAAAAAAGCTATTTCTTAGCCGCTTTTCTTGCCCAACAGACCATTTTTTGACCGTCACCTCAATCTCGCGTCTGTTTCTTGTCTGATGAGCCTCTTAATTATTTCTGGTGTGTTACTTGCACATTTAATCGGAATCAGACTAGTCCCTAGGCGTTCTTTCTTGCCGCGATGACCGCTTCAAGCCTGGAACGAAGTGCATGGAAGAGCCCAGACTCCCTTGAGCTGAGAAAGAGTAGGGACTAGGCTGAATATTAGACATGCGCAAATCATTTGAAATCGACTTCATTCTCTGTTATCGTCTCAAGGAAAAATAAGTTAAATAGCAAAAGGGATTGCAAAGTACAAGAAAAGTAATAAGGTGACAATAAACGACTAAATATTACGCATACCTAATATGCAATTCACGCCGGTGTAAATATTTTAGAAACGACTGAGGGTGCTGGCCTTGTTATGCGAGTTTTAAAACTACTGTAAACTAAATCTATTTAGAATGAAATATATTTCATTTTGTAAACCTGAAGATGGGTGGAATGACATCCTGAGCAAGTTATTTTTCAAGCTGGTAGTTTGTTTTAAGTTATGTGGTAAATAGTTGGATTAATTATCTCCGATTGGCAAACTTTTTCAAGGCGACTTCCTTTTTATTTCACCAGGAAAACCTATCAAGAGAACAATACAATAACGTTAACACAAGAGTAAAGTGAATGTGTGTTTTATATGTACGTTATGTGTGTGTTATAGCAGTGTTGTATATTGATATTTAATGAAACCTTTTCAAGAATGTAGTTCTAAAAGGGAAACTAAACAAAATTCTTATAACATGGACTGTGTCGCAGTGTTACGAAAGCGTAATTTCTCCATCCAAGCCTTTTCTCTTCACTCATGGCTTTTCTTCACGCACAAAGATTTAAGAAGGCTTTCCTCGTCTAGTGTAAGCTCGTTAGTGGCTAACGAGGCCTATACGAGACAGGCAAGTAGTGCCATAACGGCTGTGGTAGAAGGTGTGCGAGGAACTGGGCGATGCTGGGGGACTTGGGTCTGAGAAGGTTCCAAAAGGTTGTTGTTGCCCCCCCCCCCNTTCCCCACAGAGGAACTCCCATCTGAAAAGGTCGGGTTTGCTAGCGCTCGTCGGAAAATTTGAATCAAACCCCTAAAGGGGACTCTGGTTTTATTTGAACTCTAAAAGATGCTACTTAAGGTGGCTCAAAACAGTTTCCAACACTTAGATTTTGATGGGTCGTTATGACCACTCTTCATCACTTGATGCTACAATCATGGTATCAAAAAACTGCCCAATCATTGGTGCACACGTTGTTATCATTTTCGTGACGCAATAAGTTACCATAGCAACAGTATGACCTTCTTTAAAACACCCTTGATTACAGCTTTAGGGGCTTATAATTCAAAAACGGCTTGGTGAAATCTTTTTATATTATCAACTTTTGATAAGCATGATAAGATGCTTTAAAAAAATTCTGTATGTAGGGTTCAGAGCCACCTTAAATATCCCTAAGCGAGAAGACGAGCTCGAGCATCCCCGACGTTTTCATATGGAAGAACCCCCTAGGGTTTTCGGTTATGCCAAAGTACTACGGGCTGTAGCGGGAGAAACACAATTTATGTGGACTTCTACTGTAATTACCTGTCAGTCTGGCCAGTTCTTTAAAATCGCTTGTGACTCTCAGTTTCTCTGTAACTGTCGAACTAGCAAGGAAAATCCCACACACACTCGGTAATTACTGCTTAATTTATGTTTCTTTTTTTCTCCAAAAAGTGCAACATATAACAGATTTGTAGTAGGTTTTCAGTGCCATTTCGTTTCTTTCTCAATACGTGGGGCTTAAATAAATTCTTTCTTAAACAAAATTTCTATAACATGTTTTGAAACAAGCTAGAGAGTGTCGAAGTAAAACCATCACTTATTTATTTTCACCAAGATACCACGATCTATTTCTTCTTACTTTTATTCAAGATTCAAGATTCTGTTTATTTGCATTTTTACCTAATATACTAATTATTTATAAATATTTCAATGTATGGCGAGGTGACCCTTACCTAAAATAACAGCCGTTCTCCTCTTGCTCGTCAAGCACAATCTGCAGATACCACGATGGTTGGTATAAAACCACACGAAGAAGCTGATCACCGAAACTGTGAGACAGAAGCAGATTAATAATACCGTGATTAGAGATCTTAAATTTTAGTAGCATCGTACTTTGAAAGGGATAAACGAAAAATTGGCCTGCAGAACAGGAACTAGCCTGGAGATGGACTGGGAGAAGCGTCAGGCGTGGAACACGTGTTTCACTCTACCCCGCTAAACCGTGTTCTCCGCGTTATGCAAAACGGTGTTTCCGATATATTTCTGTTTTGTCAGTAACAATAGAAATCACTTCCTCCCCCCGCCACCCCCCGCCCCTCTCCCACTTTCCCCGTCTTGGGAGTCTGCGAAGGATACTCGTCAGCAGTTTAGAATTAACGGTCATTGAACTATTGAAGCAGCTAGCTTACCGAGTACACATCCGGTCCAAAAGATCTTTGCTCCAAGCTGGTGGGTTTGGCAGGTAGGTTGTTTGGTTGTTGCTATTCTTGTACACAAGAACAAATGGTTCATTATTGTCGCACAGAATTGAAGCGATAGCATCCGGGACGCAACTGTGTTCACAAAGGAAAAGAAAGAGTTATAACTTCAGACATGATTCTGACATATAAAGAAGTAAGTGAACTAGCCCGGCGTAAATTAAACCTTAAACGGCACGATTTCATGGCGTATTTCTTCACACTACTCGCGAATTGCCATAGTTTGGTTGCTTCTTCTACTGAACAGTTTAGGGGCTGTATAATTTAATGAGACAAACAAATTGGTATTACCGAAAATCATTTTTACAGCAGATCGTTTTACACTCGGCAGAGTATACCAACATGGCTTTATTATTATCGTTATGCAGCAGGTAAACAGAAAAAAGAAACTCACTCGATACTCATGTCTTGAACAGTGCTGTTAAACACGGAACTGTTCAAAGTAAAGAGATGGAATCCATATTCATGATAACCTGAAAACAAATAAAACGCACTTAATGTAAGATAAAATGTACACTATCAGGAGCTGTATTGTGATAAGCCCTGATCTTTTTTCTACAATTGACGTGGTTCATTTTTCTTGGAGCGTTTCTCCAGTGTGAGGTTATGACTCTGACACTATTCGCATCACTGCTGATGAGAGCAAGAGAGCAAGGATAGAAAAAATACACTGATCGGGTAAGGATCCCAAGGATTCGAGAAATTATATGGTATGCATATTGTCTAAGAACAAAAAAGAGAATATGAAAAAGAAATAATCTCAGATGAGAAGCACGCAAGATTTCAACCTTTTAGTCTTCAGACGACTCATACCTTGGTATTCGAGACAGGCTGGTAATATAGATTCATGACCCTTGTTTTCTTTTTCATTTGTACTGCGGTGGTCGTTGATATTGACTGTTAGGAGAAAAAAAGGAAATATGCTTTACATAACTAGAAACTCAAGGCAGGTCAGCAGAGTAATTCATTATCAAGACTGGGCTTCGTTAGAATGTTTTCCTCTGTGTTGTTTTATTTTGGTTTTCCTGTTGTTTTAGGGTGCTTGTTTGTTTGCTTTCCTTTCGTCGCGCGATCGGTTTTGTTTGTAGGAATCTCGCTCCACTACATTCGCACTGGTTGATATTTTCTCACTACGGCCTTCTAAATACTTTGAGAATGAGATTTTTTCGAGTTGCAAATAACGAGTAGCGAGCTTCACTGTCCTATTAATTTTTAGCCGTTCAATAAGGAACCACGAGTTACAATAATAATAATACAATATATTTATATAAAGCAAATTCCATAAAGTAATGTTCAAATGCGAGTTTACATGTGTGAAGCGCGC